GCTAAATCCTTGGCACTGGAAGAATGGGGAAAAGGAAGCTGGGTGCTCCTCTTCAATGTCTGCATCATCTGATCTGTCTTTCCCCAGTGGCTGATACATTTCCTGCTTTGAGGTCCCAAACAGCAGGAAGTGCTTAGGGCTAGAGCCTCTTCCTGGTCTCTGCCATTACAGCTGTCAGACAGCTCTGGGTTCACTCCATGGTTAGTGGTGAAACAGGATTCCCAGTGACGATCAGAGATAGCTCCTCATAGCATAAGTACATCACTTGCTGGGCAGCCAAAACCCAGTTAGTATCCCAAATGTTCTTATAATGGGCCTTTAGGACCTTTGTCTTTGTCTGGTAATGATGCAAGTCCAGACTGTTTCCACGAGTTGCCATCTCCACCACAATTCATTTGTAAACAGCCTGGTTTTACTGGTTCCTTCTCAGGGACTCTGTGCCCCAGCTGGAGAGAAAGTAGAGGACTTTGGCTTGCCTTCAGTTAGTGGACTGTTTCACTGACATCAGACATTCTGTAGTACCAATCATTGTAGTGGTAGGTGAGTGAGCGGTCCAGCAAATACTGGCAACGGCTTGCTTCACACTTAAGCTTTTCAAATGTTACATGCAGGGTCAGTGACTCCAGAGTAGCAGAACTGGGAGTGTGCCACAGAGGGGTCACTGAGGAGGAAGGATGGTGAAGCAAAGCACTATGGGATGCTGCTTGGCTAATCAATTACACTTTAGCAGGGAGAACAACGTAACCGGAAGCACTTCAAAATTATCCCTATTTCATTCAGAGTTGTTTTCAATACAGTTTGGGTCAATTTGTAGTGCTACCACACTGTGTATCATCACTGTTATTAAAAGTGTATGCTTTTAAACTACTTAAAGTGCTTTAAATGTTATATCCATCCATACCCTAAATACATACCCTTTAGTTACAAAAGACAGTCCATAATGTAAAAGCTTCATTAATTCAATATTTATACCAACAGCAACTGTGCATATGCCAAGAGCAACCGTACATAATTTATATCCTTTACATGTATTTAGATTTCTATATTAGCGTATATAGCAGTAATTTATAGCTTGTATCTTAATAATTATAGATCAGTTGGCATTAACTAATGCTTTTGTCAATGCAAATACTCTCAAAAGATACCTAATTTATGATCAAAATATCCAATAGCAGGATCTCTTACGTGAATACAAACTTTTTTTCATTAAATGCTAACACCTTTTGTGTAAATTTTCATGAAGCTCCATTTAGTACTTGGTTCTCAAAAAGGTCAAGAAAAGAAGAAATCAGTCTTGAGGCAACTCATCAACAGCAGAATATAGTTATTTGTATATACAAATTCTTCCAGGGTATTTTTTTTCAAACATGCAAGTTTTGGTGAAATTTTAAAGAGTCTTTTGGATTAATTTCAAACCAAAGAAAGTTCAAACCAATGACATTGAAAAAAGACAAATTTAAAACTCATGAAAGATTAGGAAAAAAACAAAACAAAACAAACAAAAAAAAATTACCCCACGGGACCCAATGCAATCAAATACCACAAAAGCTAAGAGTTTAGCAGAATATATGGTTATGAAAACATACAACTTCATTAGATGAGATAAATATAAGGATGGCCAACCACCGTCACCTTCATTCCTTTAAATTCCTTAACTGCTCTCCCTATGAAAGTCTCAAACATAGCACCAAATGAATATATGTTGTTTTCATGCAATTCTCCTATTGTGAAAAGGAAACAGGGCAAAACTAGAGGAAACAATGTTGTGTTAATAAATACACCAGATAAGGAAGGGTCATTTCAAACTTACCACTTGAATTGAAAGCTGGGGGAGAAAGGGGACAGGTCAATCAGAACTTTTTCTTTTATATCTTGGTGTCTGGTAAACAGAAACAGAAATACCTGGAACTAAGATGTCTCCAAATCCTAGGAGTGAGAAAGGCCTATCACAAAGAGCCAAGGGTGAAGAGTTCAGTCTTGGAACTTTCAGGACCATTGGGAGCTTGAAAGCAAGAGAGACATGCTTTATAAAGAATTTCACTTATGTATTTACTGAATAGTGCGCAAGCCCCTCTTGTCATTCCTAGATCTATTACATAAGTAATGCTTGAATGTATTTGTATGAGCATTATTTTTCATTTTACTGACCACTAATGAAATATATTTAACCGCTGTATGGCACTGACCCAGAACAGCTGAATACCAGTACAAAACTAAGCTTTTTAGTGTGGCAAAAAAACCCAAATTATTCTACATTTAATCCAACTTAATTTTACATAAGACAGGCAAATTCCTGCGTTAGTTAAGAGAAGTCACTGATGTTTAGGTAAGTTGATAAACTCATTTAGAAATGCCCAATGGCCATGCTGACAGCCACAAAATGACTGACTAAAGGTTGCTGTTGTATCTTAATTAATTTTTTTATTTTTGCAAAGGTATTTTCAGATGTTCTGGAACAGTTGGTGATCTTAAGTACCCTATGAACTACAAAACTGAAGCAGAATAGGACAAGATTAATAACAGCATTAAAAGAAAATTTCTTCACTTTGGCATGTTTAAAAGGAGAGCCTCCAGCTGAAGTACCCAGTATCTTTTTGTCTGTTTTTAATCACGCCTACCCATATTTACGGCTGTCATCATTTTAGTCTCGACAAACAGCAAATGAATTTCTTTCCACTGAAATGCTTACAATTTAAAACATAACAGCCAACTACACAGAAAGTACACAGTATAAGGGTGGCAGTTTATTCTTTCCTGGTCATCTAAACTGTCATTTATGGTAGTCACATATCCAGGGGTATATAAATTCTAGAAACATGGCCCTGCATATTGGATAGCTACATTAATGTGTAAACCAGAGCATATGCAATAGCAGCCATAGCCCCCAGATAACTACTGGAATTAGCCTCAGAAATAGAAAAGCTGCGTCATGCATCCCTCTTTTGTCCCATACAGCAGTGCATGCACGCTCATGTGCGCATGTGTGTACACACATTCCTACTTTGTCCCACAGCTGAGCGCATATGTGCATGCCTCTTTTGTCCCATGGCTCAGCCTGGGTGTACCCACACACAACCCTCTTTTGTCTTATACCTCAGTGTGTGTGTGCTTGTGTGTAAATATCCCTCTCTCATCCCATAGGGTGGGTGGAGGTGTGTGTACATACATCCCTCTTCTTCCATCGCTCAGTGGCCAGAGCATTCACCTGGGAGGCTGGAGGTTCAAGGTTCTGGTTCCCCTCACCCAGATGGGGTTTGAACTAGGACATTTTTACTTCCCAGTACAACACTTTAACCACCAAACTGTATGTCAGGTGTGGTGCCAGCTGGGTACTTTTTGCAGCATCAGCCTAAGTTTGTAGGTCTGAAAGGAGGCAGAGTAGCAATGGTCTGTACAAAAATCTACCCTATAAAAGGTATCTACTGCCTAACTTGCCCAACATGGAGCATGTCTACCTCGTGTTTGATGCTGGGGATGGACTGGGGATTCTGTTGGAGTATCAACCACCCTACTGCACCATGGATTCAATGACTAAACTAGCCAAGCTGGTCCTGGAAGTGGTGTTAAGAAAACCCAGTCTTAATGGCTTGGGTGACTTCACCATGCACACCAAGGTTGGCTGAAGCAAGACTTCATGATCTCTGTGGCACTCATGCTGTTTTCCCAGGTAATAACTGGACTGGTATGTGAGGCAGGACACAAGTTGGAATTAATATTTTATACCTTCTTAGAAACAGGGATTCTGAACAATAAGAATATACTGTCATGGTTGGACCATTAACCTTACAAAGATGGAAATCCCTGTCTGCTGAGGCCCCTGTTGGAGTGGACCAGTTCGGTTGGCCTGCCCACAGAGACTGCTGGAGCTGGTGGGATTCAAGAACTCTCTGGGGGGAGACACTCTTTTTTCACTGACCTTGACAACGTTGTTAATATTCTACCATTTTGTATAACGACCTGGTTCACAGACACAATTACACCCAGGTGTCCATTCTTACCCCTGCAGTGGCACAGATCCCCATGGTATATAGCGGTGATAAGGCAGTTAAAGCAGGAAGGTTGATGCTTTGAACCCAGGTGGCTCATGAACTATGCCAAAGCTAGCTGACTGCAGCATAGATCACTTTTAAAGGACTATGCCATGGCAGTGGCAAAAGCAAAGAAGCTCCTCTCCACTGCCACTGCTTCTGCAAAGTGCCACCCAGTGGAACTGTTCAAAGTGGTGAATGAACAGGTAAATCTGAGTTATCTCTGCCTGGAAACGGAGTCAGCTACAACCCTGTTGTGATGAGTTTGTGACAACTTTGCAGACAAGAGTGTTCATATCCAGCATGTCTTGGGGCTACCAGTTTATCTACAAAATCTGAGTTCAGGGTAGAGGAAGCCTGGTTTTCTCTGTCCTATGTGGATCAATTTCATTGTTGTGGCTCACTGATGCAGAGTATGTATTTAGGTTGAGGGGGAAACATGTATCCAGTTGTGAACTGGACCTATGCCTATTCTAGCTTGTAAAAGCCAGATGGGGGGAGGTTGGGGCCACTGCTAGAAGGGGTTATCAATGCCTCCCTTTGGGAAGCAAGGTGCCAGCCATTCTTAAGTCTGCAATTGTTGGGCTGTGACTCAGAGGGGGAAAAAAAAACATCTTGTGATGGTGACTTCCCATCTAGCTATTTCCAATTCCACTTCCAATCTTCTCTTTTTGGGAAAGGTAACTGAATAGGTGGTTCCATGCCACTTCTAGGAGCATCTGATGGTATCAGATTCCTGAACCCCCATCATTCTGTCTTTCATTCTTGGTATATTAAGGAAACTGTGTTTGTGCTCCTGGTTGATACACTTTACCTGGAGATCAACATGGGAAACTGTACTCCAATAACCCTGTTAGATTCTTCAGTGGCCTTTGATACAGTTGACCATGAGATACTAATAATGCATTTATGTAATCATGCATTTATTTGTGGGACTGTTCTTAGTTGGTTCCATTTTCTCCTTGTAGAAAGGTTCCAAAGGGCAGTGATGGGCGAGTGCTTATCATTGCTTCAGGACCTCTCCTGTGGGTCCCCAAGGATTCCATCTTCTTGCCCCTCTGGTTCAATATGTATGTGAGGTAACTGGATGTGATAATGCAGAGACCTGGAGTGAGATGCCTTTAATAGGCTGGTGAAACCCAGTTCTGTTTTTCTTCTTCATTTGACCTAGGCCATGCAGTCTCAACTCTTACCTAGTGCCTAGCTCCAGTTGGGAATTGCATGCAGGTAAACTAATTGAAATTGAAACCAGACAAGACAAAAGTAATGGTGGCTGCCAGACCTCATAACTTGGGAGAGGATAGAAACATTTATCAACGAAGGGTTCAGCTTCTCCTTGTCACTTATGTTCCCAGCCTGAGGGAACTGCTGGATCCTTTTACTGCACTTGAATTTCCAAGCTGCTGCAATGGCTAGGAGCACCATTCACCAAATCCATCTGGTGAGAAAGCCAGATTCGGGTTTTGATCTGGCCATTATCATTCATGCTTTTGTAACCTTGTTACAATGTGCTCTACCTGGGGCTGTCCTTGAAGACAGTTCAGAAGCTGCAGCTGGTGCAGAAGGCAGCGGCTCACTTTCTGACTGTGGCAGGTGACCAGGAGTACATTACTTCAGTGCTCCACAGTTTGCACTGACTTCAACAATTTTCTGTGCACAATTCAAAGTGCTGATTTTGACCGATAAAGACCTTAGAAGAACAGAGATTCCTATATACGTAAGGGACTATCTTCTCCCTCGTGTTCAACTGTGATCCCTAAGATCAGCCAAGAACAACCTTCTGCAAATTCTATGTGCGTGCCAAGTTCATTTGGCAAAACTACGTGGAAGGTTACTCTTGCCAGTCACCCCATAGCTTTTAAACTCCTTCCTACTTGAGGCCCATCAGAGAACAAGCCTGGATGTCTTTCAGATGCACTAGAAGACTTTAATTTGGGAAGGCTTTTAGCAGGTGCCTTGACTTTTCCCGCTTACACAGATGTCTCTGGAGGCAAGTACTCTAAAAGCTTAAGGGAGTTGATCCTACCCGGGAATTCCTGGCGTGTGCAGGTCTCCTCAAGCCTGAGGAGCCTCTGCTCCAGGAAGGCTGGAAAACACCAGCAGCTTCACACTGCCCAAGCCCTTCTGCCATAAGCAAACAACATGGGAATGCAATATAGCAGCCCAATTTGCTACTACCTTCTGTTGCAGCCACACATTTGAGCATTGGTGGTGCCACAGAACATATGGATGTCTGTTTGTTTTCACTTTGTGCCACCTTAACATTTTTTATGAAGGCACAAAAGTGCCTTCTGGGTGCAGAAGTACTAAAAATGACCTATATACGTCCAGAAAACAGACCAGGAAAGAACAGAATGCCACCCTTAGATGCTTTACAAATGTGCCATTTCAAATGCATTGGATTCCCATAAAGCACTGCAGCACTTTATATTTCCAACTGAAATGGTTGAGACTAGCTGCCCTAGTAACTTTATTTCAGTAGGTCTTTGTTTGACCCTTTGAGAAGTTGACAGATTAAGAGCTGAGTGCTAGTTTCATATTTTCAAAATGCATATAGTACCTTTTCATGAGTAGCAGAATCAGATGGGCCTGCAGCCACTTCTACCATTATACTCTCCCCAGTCTGAAAGAAAGAGGGAAAAGTGTAAGCTAGCATGTCAACTGGCAGGTCTGGAATAATTTAAGAACGCACACAAATGTACTCTGTTGGGCGCACTCTGCTCTTTAAGCAATTTGGATTGTAGATCGACTTTACCTACCTTTGTCAGGAAAGGTGTGATAAATACAAAGAACACATCATATATAAAAAGAACCAGCAGGAGTAAGGTGCAGCCCTGGGGAAAAGATAAGAGCTTCAGTGGATATTGTATATACTATACATTAGCTGGTGGAGATTAATTTGTAGTTAGCAGTATAAGAATAGTGCATCAAACATTTTCAAGAATTATTCAATCCACTCAGTTATTTCTCTTAAGTCAACACTGCACAAATATATCACAAAGAAAGATCAGTCCCACTGTACACAGCATATTAAGGAAGTGATCTTCATATACAAAATTATACAGTACTTCCAGAAAGATGCCAATAAATCTGTTTGTTTTGTGAAGTTTAAATACATTGCAACTTTGATTCTTTAGGAACTGTGTATGAAAGGCAGTAGAAATTCCTTGAGATAGCAACACTGCTCAGACCAAACTATACTGTGCACTGATGGTAGTTCTGCACAAAGTCAAAACGCCCATCTTTCTAATCCTGTGAGAAATGTCGCTAATTACAACTACTTTTAATGAGAGAGAAAGTTCAGTTTGAACCAGAATGATCATGTAGACACAACATATAAAAGAATGTGTGCATTACCCTTAGAAATGAGAATGAAAGGCAGGCTGTAGGACAGTAAGCTGTAAGGCAGTCTTTATGTAATGCAGAAACCCTTCTTGAGGGTTCGAGATAAGCAAAGCACACTGCATTCTCCCTGCCTGTTTGTGCATTCCAAACAACGTGAAGACTGTCAGCATTTAAAAAGTACAATGTACACATCATAAAGAAAATGTGCATAATTGGTACATAATCTTCAGAGACAAATTAAAGCTTTGATACTGAAGCTCTCAAACATTTTAAGGATTGGATTAGATGTAGAGAAGAACTGTATTTAGGGACTGAAATTTAGAATTACAGATTTTCTTTTCTTTTCTCTCTCAGAAGTTATGGGTAATAGTCAGAGGTCTAAAGGAATATGATGGCAACAATGGAAAGGGCAGTAGATTGTACATAAAAATTCAATACATTTTTAATGTCTATCTAGAAAAATAATCCAACTCAGCTGATTAGACTAGAAAGACATCATGGCTAGACTTGGTCAAGGGTTTCATTTGTTTGGCTCTAGGAACCTAAGAACTAAAGGAAACTAAAAAGTGATAGATAGATAGATAGATAGATAGATAGATAGATAAACTGAAGAAAGAGGAAGTTGTTAGTAATTGTTATAACACAGAAGAGAAGGAATTGTAGAAAACCAATAAAGGAAGCAAAAGAATAGTAAAAGTCAATTTTAAGAATATTGATAACTTGTAACGAATTATGTGACCAACCATTTTTTTTGCACTACTACATTATAAATATGCAATTATACTAAATCCCTTGTAATTAATTTTTCCACAAGTTTCTGCAGGTACACAGAATCATAGATAATAGAATCACCAAGTTAGAAGGGACCTCACTTCCTTAAATAAATACAGGAATAATATTCCTATTAAATGTTTATCCAGCCTCCTCTTAAAAACCCCTCCAGTAAAGGAGATTTTAAAACTGCCCTGGCAGTAGTGTAACTGGGGATATGTGTGACCTGTGCACCAGCTGCAGGTGCCAAGTTGGGGGGCTGCTGCAAAAATAGCACCTTCTTGTGCCGGTCTCCCAACCATTGCCAGCAGACAAGCAATAGCCCAAAATGCAGAACTGCCCAGTTATGCCTCTGTCCCCTGGGCAGTCTATTCTACTGCGTTACTGTTCTAACAGTAAGTACATCTTTCCTGATCTAATCTAACCCTGCTTTGCTGCAGTATAAAACCACTGCTGTGGTCTTTCCCTCTTCTTTAGGATAGACTTTCAAATATTTGGAAATTGCTATTGTCCCCCACTGATCTCATCTCCCCAAGCTAAACATAACTAAGCTTTCTCAACCTTTTCTTGTATGGCTTGCTTCCTAACTCCTTTATTTGTTGTGCTGCCTGCCTCTGGATCCCCTCATTTTTTTCCACATCTTTCTTAAAATGAGCCAGGAACTGTACAAAATACTTTAGCTGAGGTCTAACCAGTGCTGAACACGGTAGGTGCCTGTACTCAAGCGCAGAGGCTGCTCTGTTGCATGGTATTTACCACGCTCCAGCCATCTCGTGTATCAGCATCCCTGCACTTCAAAATGGCAGCAGGGGTACTTGAACTAATTTGTTGAATGAGCACCCCCATCGCCATTTTGAAGCACGGCATCTTAATACACGAGACACTGTGATGCTTTAATTAAAGCAGCTCTCAGACCTCTCTAATTAAAGCATCAATCTCTCCATCCCCAGAGCATGTGTAAAGAGTGCCCAGAGACACTATCACCTTCGGTGTCTTATACCTAATACTCCTGTTGATGCAGCCGAAAACCACATTCACTTGTCTGTGCACCTGCATCACAATGATACAGTCACCATATGTCCCAGGCAAACCAGGACAGTCCTGATTTCTGTAGTCCAGTCCCATTCAACTGGTCAAAAGCCCCTGAGTTGAGTCCAACAGGGATGCAGAACAGCCATAGTACCCCCTTGAAACCTGCTAATCTGATGTGGATCCCTTTGCTTGTGGTTACTGAGCTAATGACATATTCACCTGTAGAGGACCCGCCTCAGAGGCAGCCATGGTACTCCCTAGCAGCCACATTTGTCCTGTTTGCCCCCACTCTGGCCTCCCTGGGTGTCACCCTGCTGTTTTGCTTGCCACACCTTGATGGAAGAAATGATTATCCAGTTGGGGAGACTGCCCTCAGAGATCAGTATGAATTTTCTGTGCTTCACCTGGCCCTGCTCAACATTGGGCTCAGCCCTATGCCTTGAGCAGGGCTCCTCTTACTTAGTCCTAGTTAAATTGGCTAGTTTACAGGCAGTCCTCAGACTTATGACACAGTTGGTTCCTGAAAACCGTGTTTTTACCCTATTTTCACCAAAAATACCCCAGAATTTTTGGGGCTCTATTTTAGGAAGCAATGTCTCTGAAAAGGTCTGAGGCTCATGGTGGATACCCATGACCAGAAGGGGCTACTGAGATCCTTGGATGCACAAATAAGGGAACACTGAGCAGGAACATTACTGTAGTTACTCACATAGCATAGTCACCACTTCCTTCTTGGATAAAACATGCATCCTGTTTTCAGGAGGCGGAGTGAAGGAAAAAAAATTCTTGCCAGTAGCCTAAACATGGACAGCTGCAGTAGGGAGCAGCAACACTGTGGTTACTTCATTAACCCTGTAGCTGCTGGCTGGCTGCGGACAAGTCTTCCCTCAGTACCAGCATCTGCAGAAGAGGCCTGTCCCAGCAGTAGCTTGAAGGTGTCCCTTCAATATGTGAAGTTACTCTCCCTTTCTTCCCCCTCCCCATTTAACTTTATTGAAGGAAAGCCAGCAGCAAGGGGGTTAACTGAGCTGCCACAGTTGTTGCTCCCTTCTATTATGTCTGCTTGTGCTTATGCTGCTGGCAAGCAAGGAAATACAATGGAGCCATGCGTGGGAACACCTGAGCTGAGTCAGTAGCAGCTTGTGCAGCTCGATCCTCTGCTGGGGAAAAGAAAAAGTAATGTTGCACATGCTGCATAGGGGCAGTGCAGTGAGCATGCGGGGCTCCTATTGTCCACAGCTGGCAGCGTGGGAGTCCAGCAGTAGTTTTATTAGGGGTGGTGGGGTGAGGGGCAAGAGGGGAACCAGGCCCAGATGCTGATTTAGAAGCAGTGCAGGAATGGCAGCCTCTTGAGAGCCAATACCTCAGCAGCTGCAGCTAGGCTGGAAACACAGATCTGTCTCTAGCCCCAGCCCAGAAGCATGCACAGTCCTTAGCTCCATCCATAGCCTGGGAGCAAGCACAGCGTGGCTCCATCCGAAAAAATCAGGAGCATGCACAGCTTCCAGCCTCCATCTTCAGCCTCAGCATGGGAGTGTGCTCAGTGGTAGCTGAGCAGCATGCACAATGCTGGCCACTAATGCAATTTCCTTGCTTAATATACATGTCCTAAATTACAGGAGCTAATTTCTGGGAAAATGGGGCATGTGATACGGGAGAAAATGAAACATTCGGTACTGGTGTGATTACCACTGAAATACTGTACCCAGTACTGAGTCCTACAATACTATAAATATCTAGATGAATTGTGGAGTTTTGAAAAGAACCACAAGAATAAACTAAAGGATTTTTCTTCTCTTAGAAACTGAAGAACCTCAGTCTACTCTATTTAACAATGCAAGATTAAGTGGTGATGAGAGGTGTAAGAAGCCAGTTCTGTGTCCTGGGTGGTGACAGTACACAGGGCAGTGGCTGCTGCTATTTTTGTGCCCCTTCCCCAAACATGCAAATATCTGCTTAGCAACATAAATGTGATAAAAGAAGGCTCTTCAGCTTAACAGACAAAGGTCTAACTAACACTTCCAGCATAATCAATGGAAATTGAAGCTAGGCACATTTAGATTAAAAATAAGCCACCCAATTTTCAGCAGTGAGGGTATTAGCCACTGGATCTACTTAATAAAGGATTGTGGTGGATTCTCCACTGCTGGAGGTGATTAAATCAAGAGTGGAAGTTTTTCAACAGACGTATGCTCCAGTTCAAATGGGAATTGATTCAGTAGAGCACTATGGCTTTTGTTACACTAGACAATCATAGTTTTCCCCTTCTAGCTTCATAATCAATGCACTGGAAAACTACTAGAGATTAAATAGAGATTATTTTGTTTCAGCAGCCAAGTCTACAGAATCAGAGGTCGCCCGATTTTGTTCAAATAGCATGTCACAAACCATTTTTTAAACGTCTCTGCCTACATTATATTAATTAAATCCCCCTCCCTCCCCCAACAAATTTAGAAGCAGAAACATGTTTCCCAACCAATATGTGCTGGTTTAATTACAAACTACCATTTTATGCACCATGTACGAGCTGGCCCTTTATTCAGGGTTTTGTATGTCTCCATACCTTGAATGTAGGTAGGCGGATTGTTTTCAACATGTAAAGACAGAAGGCAATTCCTAGAGCATCTTGCAGGACCCAGGCCCACCTATAGAAACAAAAAAGTGTTACTTTCCTGAAGCAGGCAGTAAGAAATCCAGCCCAGTCACTCACAGTTAGGATAAGAATAATCACTAGGCATCAGTTTAGGACAAAGACTCAGGCATGCCATATTGCAAATTCACTGATTTCTTTTTTTCTCATTGAAATTAACCTATATAAATAAGCTAAAAATGGGTAAAGATGTAATATGTACACTTCATCTCTTATCTGATAAAAATAAGTATTATTTTAGTAAATAAGCTGAATTTTGTTTATGCCAATTATGCTTATAAAAAGAAACTGGATTTAGCACTTTTCCCTTCATATTCTAACAATACCCTAAAAACCTGAACATTAAAATTGTCTCAAAAAAGATATGACTATTAAACATTCATTAATTAACAGTAGTTTTGTTTTTCTTTACGGTTATTTTCTCTTTTTTCCCCCTTGCTGCAACTTTCTCAGAAACAGAAGTCGGTACATTTGTGAGTTAGTATTGCATGCATTATTATCTAAGGGCGTGAACACCAACTCTGAGAACATGGTCTTCATTGTAATAGGACTGTGGTGAAGGCCCTTCTTGAGTGAGTCATTGGTGACCTACATACAAAATGTCAATGGCACACTCTTCTGTTACATCTGTAAAGCAATCTATCCAGCTGCAAGAAGATAGAGGTAATGGACCTCCTTTCCATCTGGTGCAACAAATGCACCCAGTGCTCCTTCCAAAGGAGCTACCACAACCAGGCCATATATAAGTGTTTCACTTTTGAAACAGCTTTTTGGGGTACAAACATGATTGACATCAGTCTTGTATGAAGTCCAAAATGCTGAATTATAGGCTGATAGACAAGCAGAACTGGAAGGGACATCCGGAGGTCATCTAGTCCAACTCAGATGCAGGCTTCATTCTCTCCCAGGGCATAAAGCATGTGGATGTTCTGGCCCCTTTCCAGCCACACAGCAGCATTGTGGGGCTGGAGCTGCTGCGTGGCTGGGCAGGGGCTTGAACTTCCATGTGCTCTGTGGCCTGGGATGGAATGGAGCTGGAGCTGGCCTGACAGTAAGCAGAGGGATAGAGGTGGGAGAGGGCAGAAGCCACAGGGGGAAGAATCTGTTGGGGGGCAGGCTGCTGCTGCAGCTCTGACTCTGGCTCCAACCCAAGCTTTAGGCCAGAGTCAAAGCCATAGCAGCTATCTGCTTCACCCCACTTTGCACCCCCCTTTGTACTCAAATCTAAGATGAGGGGCTCCCATCCCACCATGTTGAATGAAGAAGAAAAACTCATCTTGGATTCAAGTAAATACAGTAGTCTATAACCATACAATTTACAACCCCCCTTCAGGGATTTGAAGACTTATTAAATCCTGCTTCACTTCTGTTTTATGGACTAAATCATAGAATCATAGAAGTAGGGTTGGAAGGGATCTTGTAGATCTTCAAGTCCGACCCCCTGCCCGGGCAGGAGGAAAACTGGGCTCAAATGACCGCAGCCAGGTAGGCATCGAGCACCTTCTTAAAGACCCCCAGGATAGGAGCCATCACCACTTCCCTTGGAAGTTGGTTCCAGATCCTAGCCGCCCTAACTGTGAAGTAGTTCTTATGGATGTCTAATCTAAGCTAAATAATCTAGCTCTTTCAGCTTTTCCTTGTAAATCTTATTTCCCAGACCTCTAATTATGTTTGCTGTTCTCTGCTGGACTTTCTAATTCATCCACTCATTCCTCAAGTGTAGTGCTCAGAACTGGACATACCAGGTCCACCATTCCAAGTACTACACCTCACTAGTGCTGAACAGTGTGGAAGAATCACTTTTCTTGAATTTTCCTGAATGTAATGGGATTTTTTTCTGCAACAAAAGCATGCTGTTGGCTCATTCAGTTTACGGTTCACAATAATTCACAGGTCCTTTTCTGCCTTACTGTAGATTAACCAAACTACCACATGCAACAAACTGATCCTCTTCCTTACAATGCCCAGGATCAAATTAACTTAGGGGTGGGCAAACTATGGACCATGGGCTGGATCTGGCCCATGAGGCCATTCTATCTGGCCTATGAGGCCCCTAAAAAAAATTAGTAAATTAATATTTATTTGTTTCTGGCTGCCTGTCAAAGCTGACAGGACACAGGGGCAGTAGAACCCAGGGGATCCCTTAGCAGGACTAAGCAGCACAGCCCTTCCCTACCCTCAGCCATTTCACTCTCTTCCTGCCCCCACTGCTCTGGCACCAGGTGGCTCCTGGCTGCACTGCCGGACTGGGGAGCATGAGGCCACACAGGTACGTGTGTGTGTGTGAGCATAGGGGCAGAGGGTGTGTGTGCAGAGAGGGCAGAGTGTGTGTGTGTCCATAAGGTGAGTCCCACATGCACACTCCACCATACACATGCACCCACACCCCCCTTGCTCTGCCATACACACAGACCCCATACCCCCTCACATGCCCCAGCCACTTTCCCCCCCACACACAGGCCCCCACAAACCCCAGACCCACCCTTCTCCACATACCCACACACCCACAGCCCCCCACAAACCTATATTCACCCCTCACAATATACAAGAGTAAGACCTCATTTTAAGCTTTTGTGCAATCACCTGTGTGTACCCTATATAAACACATGGCAATCAGTACAAAAATATTTTTTCTAATCAAATTAATGAATGCTGTAGATGTTTGCTTTTTAGAATATAATTTGGCATTTTTCTGGTTCTGAGATGGCAAAACACCTTGCTGAACAGAGTATTTCTGGGGGAAGGGGAGGGACTTCTGGTGGCAAAGCTCAGGGGTTAGGGGACGGGACTTCAGGTCACAAGATGGTGACCAGGGGGCGGAGCACCCATGCAGCCCTCAACAGCTTGCCAAAACTTGGTAAGCGGCCCTCTGCCTGAAATAATTGCCCGCCTCTTACTAACTGAAGCCACAGGAGAGACAACCTCCGGTAAGTATCAGTGCTCCTACATGGTGACAGTCCCAGTACCTTACCATACCAATCCCTCAACCTTCCTCCACTTCCCCTCCACACAGACCACCTGCACCACAAACTTGCCAGGGGAATAAAGGGTCCTGTGTTCTTGCTTAAGGTGATGTTACTGGGTGACCCCAAACATGCCCCCACAAAGAAACAAGCTATTAGGGTATGCAAAACACAGCAGTGGCATGCCTGCTTGGAATCATAGAGGGTGTATATCAGTGGTAAAAGATGCCAGCTGGAAGGGAGAGGAATGTCATCCATGCCTGTGAGAAGAGGTGCTACTCTGCTGTATGTATTATCATCCCTTGCACTAGGTTTTGGTGTCTCTGTGGGGGAGGATGGAGGGAACTACTGCTAGAGTAAATTAAGACCTCCTCCCAGGACCATCAGAGTACAGTGATGTGCTGAAAGGGGGAGCAATTAAAATTGAGCTGTGCTGGAACCCCTGTGCTACACCATGTGGTCCCCTGCAAGGTACTGTGTAGCTTGGGATCCCCTTCCATGAAGAGGCACTTGGAAGGACTGGATGCATTTAAGTCAGCAGGCCTGGACGATCTTCATCCAAGGATGCTAAAGGAATTGGCCAGTTTCATAGCATAGCCACTGGCATGGTTGTTTGAGCATTCTCAGTGCTCAGGTCAGGTCCCAGAGGACCAGAAAAGGGGCAATGTGGTCCCTATTTTCAAGAAGGAGAGGAAGAAAGATCTGGGTAACTACAGACCGGTTCGTCTCACCTCTATCCTTGGGAAAACCTTTGAAAAAATTATTAAGGATCACATTTGTGGGAGTCCAGCGGGAAAAACAATGCTGAAGGGCAACCAGCATGGATTCATAGCAGGTAGATCCTGCCCGACTAACCTCGTTTATTTTTTATGACCAGATCACAAAATGCTTAGATGCAGGAGTTGTGGTAGATGTCATTTACTTGGATTTTAAGAAGGCCTTTAATATGATATCTCATCCTATTCTCATAAATAAACTGAGAGGCTGTGATGTAGATGATTGCACGGTCAGGTGGGCAGCAAACTGGCTTAGGGGTCGCACCCAGAGAGTGGTGGTGGATGGGTTGATATCATCTTGGAAAGATGTGGGCAGTGGAGTCCCACAAGGCTCAGTCCTTGGACCTGTGCTATTCAGTGGCTTCATCAGCGACTTGGATGAGGGCATGGAAAGCACTGTCCAAATTCATAGATGATACCAAATTATAGGGTAAAGTTAACACACTAGAGGGTATGGAATGAATCCAGGTAGATCTGGACAGGTTGAAAAAGTGGGCAGAACAGAATAGGATGCAGTTTAACAAAGATAAGTGAAAAGTGCAAAGGAATCACCAGCATACTTACAGGCTGGGGGATGACTTTCTCAGCACCACAGCAGCAGAAAGGGATCTCAGAGTCATTGCCGACACCAAGGTAAACATGAGTCATCAATGTGACAAAGCGATCAGTAAAGTTAACCACACTTTCTCATGCATTAGCAGGCGCATGATGAACAGGTCCAGAGAGGTGACACTTTCCCTGTATAAGGCATTGGTCAGGCCACATTTGGAATATTGGGTCCAGTTTTGGGTGCTGCACTTCAAGAGGAATATGGACAACCTCAAAGGGGGTTCAGAGGAGGGCCACTCGTATGGTTAGGGGCCTGCAGGCAAAGCCCTACGAGGAGAGATTGAGGGCCCTGGATCTCTTCAGCCTCTGCAAAAGAAGGCTGAGAGGTGATCTTGTGGCTGCCTACAAATTCATTTGCGGGGGG